GGCGAGGAAGAAGTGCCGGCAGCCATAGCTGACCGGGGAGTTGACCGAGAGGGTTGACCGGAGGCGTTGACCGGAGTTGACCGAAGTTGACCGTGGGTCATAGCAGCGTTGACCGGCGTTGACCAAGGTGTTGACCAAGACTTCGACCAAGCTGGAGTTGGTAACATCTTGCCAAGCCCTTAGCCTGCCCCTTGCCCTATGGATGTGCACATACCCCTTGGTACTTGCTGAGTACGGTCTGTCTGTCTATTCTTTCTGCWTTGAGTCTCTTCTGTCCTAGGTCATAGAACTCTGTGGATGAAGGATAGGGCCTTGCCGCCGAACCTACACGGGACTTAGTAGGACTAATCTCTACTCTGGTATCTTGAGACCTGGGCATGAGCGGCGAGCGCTCGTTAAACAACTCGTCTAGCCCAATGACCGGTACTGACCGGCAGGTCTGTTGAGTTTCAGTGTAGAGGGTCTGAACTCCCAGCTGCAGGCTGAAACGGAGGCCGTCGTTAAGTGTTGAGGGCCTGTTGGAACCAGTCCCCTACCAGACCAAGTAAGGTTGATGATCTGTGTCTGACGACTCAACTGTCCCGGGGGATACGAACCCTCCCAAGGACCGGTACAGACCGGCGGGCTGCTCGGTGTGGCACAGTAGGTCGGAAAGGATGAGTTGTGGGCTGAAAGCACAGGCAGAACCAAGCTGATCACGTCGTCCTGTCTGCGACGTTAAAGAATTCTTGAGGAGTTACGGGGGATCTCCTTAAATGCCTCCTGATCAGCCGCTGGTTCAGTAGTGACAGCCATAGCATAGGTCTAGGCTAGAGGCCATAGTTGACAGGATCTCTGTCAGGATTCTGTGAGTCTATAGGTTTGTCAGTCAGGGGTCAGAGTCTACGTGGTGAGGTTTGGAACCACTAACCCGGCTGTACACCTATCACCATGGTTGAGACCCGCCAAGGGACGATTACTACCCCTTATACCGCTGAGCAACAAGCAAAGATGGCCGCCTTAGTGAAAGAGAACAGGGAGAGACAAGAGCGTGAAAAGCAGGCGAAGCTAAAGGCTCTCGCAGACGAGCGAGCGGCGAAGATGAAGGAAGTGGAGGAGGAGATGAAGAAGAAGGAGAAGGCTGCTGAAGAAGAAGCGGCAGCAGAAGAGGAAAAAGAAAGGATGAGGATTGAAAGCAGAGAAGGGAGCAGTGGCATGAAGAAGGACACAGACGCTGAGATTGAGAAGAAGATCAGCGAGTGGGTTGCTAACTTATCGTTGGGGGAAGATGAAGAGGCGGAATCATATGTGACTAAGGATGAGAAGGCCGCATTGGCCGCTGAACTAGCAACCATGACGGATCCTATGGAGCGAAGAGAGAGGGAAGACGAGCAAAAGTTGCAGTGGAAGCTGAGAATGAAGAGGGAGAAGAGGAGGAGGAGAGAAGAAGTGAATAAGATGACTGCAGCAGTAGCGAAGGTGCAGGAATGTAGAGCGGAGGTATTGGCCCAGCCAGATGATAAGGCCAAGTGGGATAAGGTACAGGGGTACCTGAAAGTGTTGAGCAAGGCCTGGATGGAGGAGCGCTAGGCTAGTTGGAGTCAGGATGTAGCATTGAGTGCCATGCGGTCAGGATTTAGGGAGTTTGCGCGCGAGATCGTCACCCACATTGGGGGCGAAGTGAAACAGTTGAGGGACAACGTAGGGAAGTATTGCGAAGGCGCCATTGAGGGTGCCAAAGCCATAGCTGTTGCAGAGGGCGAAGGTAGACCCCGCAAAGAGCCTGTAAAGCTCAAGTTTCTAGACGCATACGGGGGAAAGGAGGAGGAAAACTTTGACAACTGGGAGGCCAGTGTCAACAGTTATATCTATTTGCAGCATATCCTAACTGAGGAGCAAGTCCTCGTGGCCTTCCAAGCCCTCAAGGACGAAGCAGCTAGTTTCGCTAGGTCTCTTGCGCGTACAGCCGGTTGTGAAAACAACCTGGTTGCGTATTCCAAAGTCACTCCTCTYTCCCAATTCCTCAAGCTCCTCAAGGAGCGGTTCGCTGACMCAACKCGAGGCATTARAGCCTCTGATAAGCTCCAAACGATTCACTCTCGGCAGTGGAGGAGTGCTAAGGCACTCAAGGGTACTATGGACGACTTGGTAGCCGTCCCGGACCACGGGGTCAACGAGCCCCAGTTGGTCCAGTTGTTTTATCGTGCCATCCCAGAGGCCCTACGCGGGCATTTCTTTGACAAGTCTCAGCAGGCCGGCATCACATACAATCAATTGAGTAGGGAGGTCGTCCTGTATGAGTCAAAGTCTATGCCAGTTACCACTTTCTGGCATAAGGACCTGGAAAAGGGGAAGAAGTGGAAGAATCGTACTATCTTAGGCCAAGTAAAGGCCAAGGATCACATGATCCTGACGTTAGAGGAAGGTGGTACTGAWGAGGTCCCGTATGATCAGATTGAGTGGGGCCTTGAAGATGATGGCGGTAGTGTGGGGCAGGGGAGGTCTTACGCTGCTGCCGCGGTTGGAGGGAGGCCGCAAGGAGGAGGAGGAGGCCAGGGCCAAAGGGGCCAGGCCATGGGAGGCCGAGGACCGGGCTCACAGGGGGTTGGCGGCCAGGGAAACCGCCAAGCGGGAGGTAGGGGTCAAGGTCCCCCGTCAAATCGCCAGGGTAATCGGTCCCCACAACGAAGAGCTCCTCAAGGAGGTTGGCACCCAGGCTTGCCACAGGGCAGGCCCTGGGAAGACTTGGGCTATGGCAGGAACACGTGAACATGGGTCAGTGCGTATTCTGTGGTGACCCGGCCCACGTTATCAAATTTTGTCCAAAGTATAGACAGGCCCGTTGGGCTGCTCAACAGTCAAAAGGCAGCCGCCAGTAGGGGTTGCAACTGCCCCTACTTTAAGGCCATGTGGAGAAGTGAG